TGTGACATGGAAACTGGTCTTAGCAAGTAAGTTTTTGCAATCAGTCGTGGCTGTTCATGGTGTATTTTTAGCCAACTATAACAGCATCTTAAAAGTTCTGGATTACATATAGATTTTATAATGCGAACTTCGCTAGGCATATCTAGAGTTATGCTCGTCGCTTATTAGCACTCCTTCCCTTTGATTTTTAGGGTAACTCACTAAACAGACTTTGGACAACCATTTCACAAAACGCTGATAAGAGGAGCGCAAATGATGCTGTATACTTATAGGTTTGTCGATGCCGTTGTGGACTAGGTATGACAAAAATGGACAGGCTAGCAGCCGATGACCGATCAGTACGTATATTCTACGATATTGCTCATTCTTTACATTAAGTCTTCAGGTATATTTTGCCCTGTCGGAGCAGTTCGTAACTGGTTAAAAACTCATTTACGAAAATAAAATCATGTAGTTTTAGAAACGAAAGGCTAGGGAAGAAGCGGAGGCTCAACGTGAAGCTGCTCTTAATGCTGGTTTACGAACACCTCCACAGAAGAAGAAGCATAGGACGAAAAATGGTCTGCCAAAATTGAATTTTGGAGGCCCTTCAAGGGCTCCTCCTTCGACGAAAGTGTACATGGAAGAGCGTGACTCTCGATTATTAGCGTGAGTATATAATATTAATCTAAATCAAATCAAATGAGGTTGAAAATTTATGTCTAGACGGCAGCAAGGAGTTAGACATCGAGACTTATCGTCCTCGTCGTCGTTTTGCTCATCCCTTACTAATCATCAGGTGAGTCAATAGTGCTGGTCTTTAGTACTCATTTTCAATTCCAGCAAAGTAATCACTAGGCTGTGAAAAAAGTATCAGTTTTACCTTTGGTTGGCTTGCGATTGATTGAATTTTATTTGGGATACCATATTCCACCTTTTTCATCGACTACATCGCTTGCCACCGTCATTAACCATAGTCGTTTCGTGCAAGCGTTAATGTTGGTCTTAGATATCATGTTTGTGACCACTGATAGCTGATAGAGGGCAGATTCCTACTTATTGCTTCGTATCCATATTTGATCTGTTAGCGCTACCGGTCGAACGCTGTGGGATCTTCCGCAGCCTCAAGCCATGGCATGTTTCTAACGAGGGAAGGATACTTGGTCGAAACAGCCAATCACGATGAATTGTCAGGAGACCCGTCTGGAAACGTGGTGATCTATCTTCCATATCTGCCCAACGTCTTGGCAGGAGTTAGCCAGTCATCTTGTTTATGATCAAGAACGAGAAGATAGCATTGCGGCAGAAAAAAAAATGCCGACTATGAAGTAACGATAGAGGGTTCGTTCTTTTTTAGTGCTCATCATTTTTGCTTTTTTAGGAAGTCTGCTAGGACCATTAGAGGCGAACTACGAATTTCTTTGATATTCATCACTGGATTCGTTGTCCAATGCAACCTTCAGGGTTTTATCTTTATCTATTTTCGACCTTTCTACCCTGGAGTTGCCTGGGTAGTGGCCCGCATCACTAGCCATCAATTTAAAAAACGGGTTTGTGAAAGTTCGCTTGGGACCGTTTAACATGCTTTCACAAAAATCACATCCATTCCTCACGGTGAAGCCTCACTTCAAGGTATCGGTTGTTAGACGTTAGAGAGCAGAGTTATGACTTCATCGAAATGTGGCCTAATGAGGTTATTGAGGATGTGTAAAATCCGTCTTTCTTTCTCAGCCTAAGCCTTTAATTTAAGGATAATTCTGGTTCTGCCTGCTATTTTACTTGTACCAGTAGCAGAAGTGCGTGTGTTTTTTCTTTGCTCGACATGTTTTGAATTTGCTCTGTACCACCTACCCACCCGATACCCCACAAGAAGGCTCTACCCTGCTGCTTGGACATAATTTTCGTAATCAACATGAAGTAACTCCCCTTGTAATCAGCATGTCAAGTAACTCCCCTATAATATCGTGAAACCCAGATTTTTAATAAATTTACGGTTAGTAGTACGGATTATTGCCTATTCAATTTCAGAGTTGAAGCTTTTTAGATGACAAAAGAATGTGTAGCACGCCTCTATATGATCACACTAACTATATTTCAAAAGGCAAAAATGATAAACGCGAGAAGGGACGAATTCTTCCATATGCTTTAGAGTCACCTGCCACTATACCAATGGTTCCTAGAGCATTTGCAATGCTCGTAATTAATTAGAGGCGAGAAAAGAAACGGTCCTTCTCCTTGACTGCTTCGCAGATAAGCAAGATGCATTTGAAACAACTTATCTTGGTTGGCTTTACCAAGTATTTTTCCCCTTTGAATTGTTTGTGCATTGCTTACCCAAAATCATAGCCATAGGCAGTCTAAGATAAAACACTATAATGGAGTAGTTTATTGAATTGCTAATTTTAGTCTAGAAGGGAATCCTCGACATATGCCTCTGATGCTTGGGGACTGCTGCCGTCGTTTCCAACTGACACCAGGCCTCAGTCAGGTAATCAGAACGTTTGCACCTTTCAACCTCCTAAGCAGGTATTTCTTAATCCAGTAGCTGCCTATCATGCGGTGCTCCAGCCCTATTATAGACCATTGACAATTGCTATTTGTAACTTTTTTCTCTTCCTTAGATAACAAAATAGGCAAGGAATGAATTTGCCTTTTTAATATCTATATGCTTGATTCAAGTCAGATATCTCGTATTTTATGGGTTTCATACAACGCTTCATCTCCCTTTCCTTAAACTACCTCTCTAAACCTCTTGAAAACTATTTGTTAACTTATAGTTTGCTGGAAACGCTGAATATCGAGTCGTTAACTCAGTCAATGTGATTTCTCATAACAGCTCAAAATGAACAATCAATTTAACACACTCTTACAGCAAAGTTGTCCCATTAAAGATAACATGGTACCGACTAAAAACTGCTCTTTGCCACTCTTGCGACAAATGGACTAATTTGTGACGGGTAGAGAAACATACACACTTCACATACAAAAGCAACCTTTATCATAGGTCAGTTCAGGAGCGTTTCGGCAGAGCTCCTAGTGCGCGGCTCATTAGCATCGACGCATCTGGCACGTTATAACGATTGAATGTAAACTGTTATGTGGCTGTGGTTACGGGCTGTTTTTTATTGGAATTTTCGTGTTAGTGTTTGAATTACTCACACGATCAATTAGTGATAATGATTTTTATATACACTAACAAGTATGTCAAACATAGAGCGAAAGAGGAATGATGGATCAAAAGAGAAACAATAAAGCAGACGCACCCATTATGACACATCTAACCTTCGATATGTTAACGAAATGTAATAAGAAACAAAAAACTATCTTTACGGCACTTCCCAAAAGAATATATTCGGAACAGTCTCATTATCCCCTGATTATAATGAACAGTATTACAACATCAACGTTCAAGGCATCTGATGCGCCTATGCTAACGAGCTATTATGTTGGGTTGACATCAAGGTGTTGCGCATCCACTGTGTGACATGCATAATTTGATTTTCGAAGTTGTGATGCACTTCGCAACAGTTTCTCCTCAATAACTAATAACATGATGGAAAACTGAACAATATGGATCAGGCGATGAAAGAATGACAAAAAAACAGAATACCGTCACTTAACTCGCCTGTTGCTTGTTTTTTTTTT